AATGTTGTAAGCCAGTGTTACCACAGTAACACTTTTTAATTTAGTAATTATGCCATGAACATTCTATATGACATTTTTTACCTTTTGTGAAGAAAACACACTAATGTGATCCTTCTCAGATTATTTGTTTAAAAACTGAATACAGTGTTTATATATAACTATAAGAAGACATAATTAAAAAGATTATTTAAAGAATCATTATAATACAAATACCCAGGTCCAAAAATAGAACATGATCAGTACCCTCTACCTACCCTTTCTAATAATATCCTATTTCTCTTTTCTTAATAATTTTATTATTCACATTTGTAGCCTAAACAGCTGAATTTTGCCACATTTTGAATATATGTGGAATCACATGGTATCTATTCTTTTACTCATTACTGAAATTCATCAGGTTATTATAGTGTATAGTGACTAAGTTTAACTCCTTTTCATTGCTGCATCATACTTCACAGTATGGAGATACATAAATTTACCCATTCTATTTTGATATGTTTGAGTTGTATGCTGTTATAGCTGTTACAAGTATGTACAAGAATCTGTACAATAGAATAGCTGAGTCAAGATGAATGTGTACCTTCAACTTCACTGGAAATACCACACTATATCCAAAGTACATTGTATCTTTTTTTTCTGATTTATTGCAAGGGAATATTGAGCTTATATCAGTATAAGGATTATCCTCGCTTCATCAGTTACAATCTTTTTTCAGTAATTTTTTGACTGATGGGTGTCCAATAGTATTGAATTGAGCTTTTCATATTTATTTGTGTTACTAAAAAGGATATGCATATTTTCTTAAATTGGTCTCATATATTCCTCTTTGGAGCAGTGTCTATCTTCGAAACAAAATGGTCTATTTCATATGGACTTGTAGGTATTCTTTGTATATTCTGAGTAACAATCCTTTGTTACATGTTTCACAAATATTTTTCCCCACATTGTGGTTTTAACTTTTCTGTTTGGTTTACTCAGTAGGTAAACTGAAATCCTTGATTTTAAGGTAGTTGAATTTATTGTTCTTTCCTTCTATAACTAAAAAAGATTCCTCTCAACCCCAAAGTTATAAAAACATTTTTTCATACATATCCATATAATTTATCTGATATCGTTGCAGTTAGATGTGCTTTGGAATGCAGACATTTTTTTTAATATCAGAAAAGCACTGTGGAACATATTATATATACTATGTAATAATACTATAAGAATTGCGATAGCACCAGTAATCACACATTATTTCTAGAGAAAAATGTAGTCACCTAATGATATATAAACGACTATTGTGTCACTAAGTTATTTTTTCACCAAATGAATTCTAAGGAGCTTGATATTTCAGAGATTTAGGGATTTTGTAACTGATATTAGTTATGTCTTCATACAATAAATATAGGACTATTTCATACTTGGAAAAACCTGTTGGTAGAGAAATAAGCTGTAGTTTGCGTGTGAAGATTCTTTACTATGGATTTAAAATATTTAATGTTTTAGGATTATTGACATTTTCTACTGTTGACTCCATTGATTATAATTTTCCTCCAATTTGTATGTTCATCAAAATTTTATTTGCATTAAACTGTTTTGTTTAATAGATTTTTCGCTCAATACAATCAGACACTCATCAACTTTATCCTTTCCCCAAAAGTTAATTTTTGGATATTTGGAATCTACTAACGGCAATGATTTATTACTGACTTGTCTCTGAACCTAACAAAATACTAGCCTATTTCCAGATTTCCACAGTGTGACTGCTCTCATTATGGATAATTTTGAGCTACCAATTTGATGTTACTGAAGTTGGGAAGAGGTGAATATAACTGGTTCTCTTGAACTAGTTTGGACTCTCTGACATACCACTGCTTTTCTCTTTAAATCATTTCAGTTCTTAGCATTACTTCCCTCGTTCCACATTACTTCTCTTTCTTTCTTTTTTTTTTTTTTTTCTGATTTATTGCAAAGGGATATCTAGCTAAAGTCCTTTAAGACTTTTCTATAACATACTTAAGTAAGGTTATAAATTTACCTCTGGGTACTGCATTAGATTAAGTCCACAGTGTTGCTAATATATTGGCTCAGCTCAAAATATTTTCTCATCATGAATTTTACAAAAGTGATTGTTTTTATTTATTTATGCATACCATCACTGGGGTATAGGCTAGAAGTAAAGTGGGTCAGAGGATTCACCAGAGCCCTGAGCAGAACAGGCAGATCATAATGACTTTTTCTTTGACCTCAAATTATATGGATTAGTTTCTATAGTTATTTAATGACTTTTAGTTAGCAGTATTGTTGTTCAAAAAATGTGAGTGGGCCCTCCTTGGTGATGCAACAGGTTAAAGCTAAGCACTGTGATGCCTGCTGTGGCCACTTCTGCAGCTTCTGTGGGAGTTCCATCTTCTCTCCAGAGGTGATGCACATTGCAAGGCAGACCTCTCCGGACCTGCCCGCTGCTTCCCTCAGCAGTGTACTTCATCAGTCGGTCTATTCTGCTCCCCACTTTGTCTCTGGTGAAGTCTCTCACCACCCCTGCACCTCTGGCCTGTACCCCAGTTCTGTAGGCATAAATAAATCTTAGAAGACTGGGCCCTCCCTGGTAGTGCAGTGGGTTAAAGCCCCGCACTAAGAAGCTAAAGGCACTTCAGCATGAGTTCAATCCCTGAGGTGATCCACATGGTGTGGCGACCTCTCCTAACCCGTCCACTGCTCCCCCTCAGCAGTGTACTTTGTCAATCCACCTGTTCTGCTCCCCACTCTGACTCTGGTGAAGTCTCTCACCACCTTTGCACCTTTGGCCTGTACCCCAGTTCTGAATACATAAATAAATCTTTAAAAAAAAAGATAAAATAAATGTGATTGATGTCAGTCTTTAAAATCTGCTTCAAGCTGCTTTACAGTTATATGGTGAATGTGGGTAATATACTTAATCTCACAGATGGTTGTGTTGTTCTGCATATATCAGGTCAAATTTATAAATCACATTGCTCACATTTCTCATACCTTTGTTGACTTTTCTTTTGCTTCTCTTAATCACTGAGGAGAGCTTGTTTAAATCATCCAATATGACTGTTTTTCTTGGTAACTATCAATTTTCACTTTGTTTATATATATATAT